AGTTGGTTAAGCGTCTGCCTTCTGCTCAGGTCATGATCCCGGGGTCCTAGGATTGGGCCCCTGGGAACAAGAATGATCCCGCATCCCACTCCCTGCTCAGTGGGGAGTCTGCTTCTCCCTCTCCCTCTGCCCCCACCCCACTTGTATACACACACTCTCGCTCTCAAATAAATAAATACAATATTTAAAGGAAAAAAAAAAAAAAAACAGGGCGCCTGGGTGGCTCAGATGGTTAAGCGTCTGCCTTCGGCTCAGGTCATGATCCCAACGTCCTGGGATCGAGTCCCACATCGGGCTCCCGGCTCGGCGGGGAGCCTGCTTCTCCCTCTGACCCTCTCCCCTCTCATGCTGTTTCTCGCTCACTCGCTTTCTAAAAAATAAATAAATAAAATCTTAAAAAAAAAAAAAAAAAACAGCTCATAAGTGGCACAGCCAGAGCCAGGCTGTAGGGCTCCAGAATTTGTGGTTCTAACCACTGAGCCATTTTTTTTTTCTTTTTTATTAAAGTAAGCTCTCTGCCCAACGTGGGGCTTGAACTCATGACTCTGAGATCAAGAGTCACATGCTTGACCGACTGAGCCAGCCGGGTGCCCCGCCACTGAGCCATTCTTATCTTTCCAGGTGTCTCTGCTTTTCTGTGTGCCCCCATCCTCACTCCACCCCCACCAGAACTAGAAATCAGCCCCCCTCCCGAGCACCCCTAAGAAAGCACCCATTTGCCCATAGCATCCATGAACGGTTTAGACACCTCTGTGAGAGAGGCTGGCGCCTGCACTGAGTTCTTTTCTTCCCCCTTTCCCCAGGCAGCGGGGGATGAAGAGAGGGCAGTAAATCACAGCACAGATAGCTGGCCTGTAGGATGATTATTCCACAAATACTGATTGAACAGCATGCAGGGTCTTGTGCCTTGTGCCAGAGTGGTGGGCATACGGCGATGAACAAGACAGACAAGGGTCACGGCCCTTCCTGGCCTGGGGGGTGTGTTTTAGAAATTCCTGGTTGGCCAAGTTCGGTTGTCACAATGACGGGGGTGCTCCGGCATTGAATGGGCAGGGGCCTAGGATGCTGGGGCACAGCCCCACACCACCGAGACTTGTCATGTACCTGAATGTCATTCCAGGATGGTCAAAGGATTGGGTCAGAGGGTTGGGCACTGCTGCTTCCTTCCGCCTGTCCCTAGGGAGCACCCCTCAGTCGGGGTCCAGAGGACCACGGGAGGCAGGGGGGCTAAGGGGAGAAGAAGGATGGCATGGCAAAGAAGATGTTGCCATCTTGGACTCAGTCGTGCGGTAGGACCAAAGTGGGGAAGATAACCCCATGTCTTATCACTGACGGTGTCTTTCTTATTCCCTACTCAGGGCCTGAGGTGTGGCAGGCAGGATCTTGTAGGCAGTATCCTCTCAGAATAAAGCAAAATAAGCACAGGATATAAACAGGAAATGGTTCTCCATCTGGTGACCCCGGGGCGGGGGGTGGGGGGACTGTGGCAGGAGGAGGTGGCGGAGGGACATCAGGATGGTCTAAGTTACTGGGTATATCCTGGTTCTTGGGGCTTTCTGGGTATTCACTGGCTTACTAAGAAGTAAGCTCGAACTGCTGCTCCCAGCTGTGGTGGGCTGACTCATGTTCGACCTACCCTCCTGCTGAGAACCATAAAAGCTAAATTAAGGTTCTTGTTCTTCTTAAATCTATTTGAAGGCCCTGGAGAGCAAATTACCTTTGAGGGCATCACGTCACCAAAGACTGTCATCCAGTGCAGAAAAGCAAGAACCGATGGGGATACATAAAGGTGAAATAAGCCAGCTCCCAACTCCTTATGCAGGTCAACAAAGTAATTCAATAATTTGGATAATCTGAAAAACGATTACCAAATCACTATATTCCAGGGTGGGGAAACTCATTCTGTTAGGGACTAAAATAACAAAACTCTAGGTTTTTTAGTTAGAGAAGAGTATACATTTTAAACCTGTCTGCTACTTAGAAGAACAGGAAATATATAACTTTTTAAAAGAAGATTTATTTGGGGCGCCTGGGTGGCTCAGTTGGTTAAGCGACTGCCTTCGGCTCAGGTCATGATCCTGGAGTCCCGGGATCGAGTCCCGCATCGGGCTCCCTGCTCAGTGGGGAGTCTGCTCCTCCCTCTGACCCTCCCCCTTCTCATGCTCTATCTCATTCTCTCTCTCAAATAAATAAATAAAATCTTAAAAAAAAAAAAGAAGATTTATTTGTGGGCACCTGGGTGGCTCAGTCGGTTAAGCGTCTGTCTTCGACTGGGGAGGGTATGTGCTCTGGTAAGCGCTGTGAATTGTGCAAGACTGTTGAATCTCAGATCTGTACCTCTGAAACAAATAATGCAATATATGTTAAGAAAAAAAAGAAGAAGAAGAAGGTAGCGGGAGGGGAAGAATGAAGCGGGGGAAATCGGAGGGGTAGACGAACCATGAGAGACGATGGACTCTGAAAAACAAACAGGGTTCTGGAGGGGAGGGGGGTGGGAGGATGGGTTTAGCCTGGTGGTGGGTATTGAGGAGGGCACAGTCTGCATGGAGCACTGGGTGTTGTGCGCAAACAATGAATCATGGAACACTTCATCTAAAACTAATGATGTAATGTATGGGGATTAACATAAGAATAAAAAATAAATTAAAAAAAAAAAAAAGCGTCTGTCTTCGGCTCAGGTCAGGATCCCAGGGTCCTGGGATGGAGCCCCGCATCGGGCTCCCTGCTCCGCGGGGAGTCTGCTTCTCCCTCTGCCACTCCCCCTGCTTGTGCTCTCTCTCTGTCATATAAATAAAGAAATAAAAATCTTAAAATTGGGGCGCCTGGGTGGCTCAGTTGGTTAAGCAACTGCCTTCGGCTCAGGGCATGATCCTGGAGTCCTAGGATCGAGTCCCACGTTGGGCTCCCTGCTCAGCGGGGGGTCTGCTTCTCCCTCTGACCCTCTTCCCTCTTGTGCTCTCTCTCTCTCATTCTCTCTCTCTCAAATAAATAAATTAAATCTTTAAAAAAAATTTTTTTTTAAAGATTTAATTTATTTATTTGAGAGAGAGAGAAGCAGAGGGAGAGAGAAACTTCAGCAGACCTCGAACTGAGCGTGGAGCCCTACACGGAGCTCGGTCCCATGACCCTAAGATCACCACCTGAGCCGAAACCAAGAGTCGGACGCTCAACCACTGAGGCACCCCAGAAATATATAACTTTTAAATGTTATTTTATTTTTTTAAAGATTTTCTTTATTTATTTGAGAGAGAGAGAGTGAGAGAGAGCGTGAGTGGGGAGAGGATCAGAGGGAGAAGCAGACTCCCCGCTGAGCAGGGAGCCTGATGCGGGACTCGTTCCAGGACTCCGGCATCATGACCTGAGCTGAAGGCAGTTGCTCAACCAGCTAAGCCACCCAGGCGCCCAGAACTTTTAAATGTTAATGCAAATGTAGCAGAGGCTTAAGGCCCCCTGGTATAGACTTAAGGGAGACAGATCTAGGGGCAGAGAAAGAAGGAAGAGGAAGGTGGAGAACAAAAGGCAGAGAAAGAGCAGAAGAATTTTGTCTCTGCCCCCATGTGACACTTGACAGATTAGGAATCACTTCTCACATATTTGGCCTCCGCTCCACCATTCACGAGCCGGGTGATCTTGGGCAAGTTAGCTTACTTCCCTGGGCCTCGACTTCCCTATCAGTAAAATGGGGATAAGAGTAGCGTTTACCTCATGGGGTCATCTGTGAAGGTGAAACGAGTTAATAAATGTAAGGCACTTAGAAAAAGTTCAGAAAACACTAAATCAAATTAGACACTAATCCCTCATTGATTCCTTCAGTAAACGTTTATTGAGCGTCTAGTTTGTGCCAGATCCTGGAGATAGGCTTGGCACCCGGCAGGAGCACAATGAGCAGTGTTAAAATGAATGAATGCAATGGCTTTTTTTTTTTAAAGATTTTATTTATTTATTTGAGAGAGAGACAGCGAGAGAGGGAACACAAGCAGGGGGAGTGGGAGAGGGAGAAGCAGGCTTCCCGCAGAGCAGGGAGCCCGATGCGGGGCTCGATCCCAGGACCCTGGGATCATGACCTGAGCCGAAGGCAGCCGCTTAATGACTGAGCCACCCAGGTGTCCCTGCAATGGCTTTTTAAGGAACAATGCAGGGCCTTGCCCCACGAACAGGCTGGAAGGCGCTCCAGGCCCAGAGGTACGAAATTGCCTGGTGGGTTGTGGGTTCCAGAAGCTGAGTTGTGAGTTGTGCTGTATGTGGCCAAGAGCTTCATGTCCCCAAACGGTAAACCGAGGCCCAGGGAGGCGTGAGGACTGAGCTAGCATCCACTTGGGAGAAGAGCCTGGCATAATCTGGTCCAGTCAGAGATAAGCAAACCCTACAAGTCCCCCCTGATTCCTGTCCCGAGTGTATGCGTGCCCGAGTGGACCGGGAGATGTGCAAGGGAGCAAACACAGCAGTGTAGCTCCTAACAGCCAAAGCCAGAACGGCCTAACATCCGTTAGCAGGAGAATACAGCTAAACAAATCACACCAACAACTGGACTACTGTTCAGCAGTGAACAGGAGCAGCCACGGTTAGAGGCAGATGCAGATCTTACCAGAGAGCAGGCACAGAGCACAGTGATGGAAAGTGTGCACTCTGGACCCAGCCGGCCTGGCGTGGGATCCGGGCCCTGCCACTTGCTGGCTGGGAGCTACCGGGAAAATCAGCGTGCCTCCGTTCCCTCACTTCCCACGAGCAAATGGACCCAGTAAGGGTGTCTGTCCCGTAGGCTGTTAGGAGGATTTAAATGGGTCAATATTTACAGAGGTCAGAACACCGCGGGGCACATACATTCAGTGGCTTACATCAACATTGGGTAAACGTAGTGCATTGTGTGGGGGAGAAAAAGCAAGACTCTGAAGAATCCAGACTTTTATTTTATTTTTTAAGATTGTATTTATTTATTTGACACAGAGAGAGAGATAGAGAGAGCACAATCGGGGAGAGGGAGAAGCAGGCTCCCTGCTGAGCAAGGAGCCCGACGACAGGGCGCCAGGACCCTGGGACCATGACCTTAGCTGAAGGCAGCTGCTTAACAGACTGAGCCACCCAGGCGCCTCAAGAATCCAGACTTTTAAAGGTTCAAAAGCAACGGGGGATTAAACAAAATGGGGGATTAAACTAGACGTTGCCTAGGCAGTCATATGCTGTGAAGGGATGAGAAGCAGAAAGTGATTTGGGAACTGCGGGGAGGCAGGGGGAAGGGATGGGGAAGGGAGCTGGGGGTCCGTGCATTGTTGGGGGTCTCACGAGCGGCAGGGGGATCCCAGGCACTCAATGTTATTAGAGGAAAAGTTTTAACACGGTAACCCTTCCGCACGAGGGGCCTTGGGCCTCAGGCCCAGAGCAGCTGGGTGCTTTGGGGAGGAAGGAGGCCGCTCAGCCCCGGGACTGCCCTCCACCATAGCGTCCTCCAGCAGAAGTGCAGCAGTGGCCTAGCTCTTGCTCCCAGCCAATCAGAGGGAGGAGGATTTGAGCCAGTTCGAGGGAAATGGGCCTCGGGGAGTAAGAAAGAGGGAGGAAGACATGAGCTGGCCCCAAAGATGGGTCTTAACCAGCCAAATGGAGGAGGGCCCCATTCTGAGGGAGGAGGGTCCAAGCCTGTCTGAGGGAGGGAGGAGGAGGCCGGGCCCACCCAGGGGCCCCTGGAGGACTTGTTTCCCTTGTGGTTTTTTGTACTTCCTGTTCCCCTGTGCACTGCGGAAGTTCCTCTTCTTACCCTGCACCCAGAGCCTGACCGGAGAGGACAAGGGCAGGAGGCACCATGAGTGGGGGCCCTGTGGGAGGCAGGTCTGGGGGTCGCGGAGGACCAGGGGTTCAGCAGAACATACCCTCCACACTCCTCCAGGACCATGAGAACCAGCGACTCTTCGAGATGCTGGGTCGGAAATGCTGGGTGAGCTGGGGATCTCCTGGCCCTCCCTGTCTCCCTCCCTTTCCTCCTCTTCCTCTCCTCCTCTTCTGCCTCCTCATCATCCCCATCATTCTCCTTTCCTCCTCTTTCTTCCCCTCCTCCCCTCTTCCTTCCCTTCTCCATCATCTCCTCTCCTAAAACCCACTTACCCCCATTCACCAATCCCAGGAAGATCTTGATTGCGATGTCTGTCTACTTTCCCTCTGGCTTCGGCTCTTCCTTTGGAGCCAGGACAGCCGCAGACAAGGAAGAACTAGACCCTCTGGCTAACCAGATTCCCCTGAGCCCTGCTCTTCCCTCCCAGACACTGGCCACCGCCGTTGTTCAGCTGTACCTGGCATTACCTCCTGGAGCTGAGCACTGGACCAAGGAGCACTGTGGGGCTGTGTGCTTCGTGAAGGATAACCCCCAGAAGTCCTACTTCATCCGTCTTTATGGCCTTCAGGTGACCCCCATCCCCCCACTGGACGTGCAAACCAGTTTTCAACCCGCAAACCCAGATCTGTGTCTAAAGCCCCAAGGCCTTGGACAGAGCAGTGAACCCCTGAGCCCCAGAACCAAAGACTTCATCTCTAGATGGATGAATGGGTGAATGGGTAAATGGGAAGTGGGAGGGTCAAACTCTGGTTTGGCTTTCTTTGTCTTTGATGACTGACCCCAGAATCCCCATGTCAAGATTTATAACCCCCCAACTATTAGTATAGCTCCTAAATCTAATCTGTTTCATGAACTCAAAAAAAAAAAAAAATGAGCATTGTATTTTTACCTGAACCTCAAATCTGTTCTAAACTCAAACTTTTGAGTTCCAGAAATCCCCCTGTCAAAACTCCTGGACCCTAAATGTTTGCCTAGCTCCTAAGCCATAGCTTTGCCTCACAAACATCAAATTGCATATACCTTGACTGAATCCCCCACCCCCAAAACTTTCAAGTCTGTGTGTCTGAACCTCAAATCTCAACTCCAACTCCCAGTACTGGAGCCCTACCTGCCCAGATGAAGGCCCCCCATAAAGGAAGGATGTAAGATGGAGTCTATGAATGGGCTCAGTTTCCTAGGACTGGAGTCCTAAACCCTCATATTCAAGCCCCCAAGTCCCACATCTGGGGCCCTGAATCCCAAATCCAAATCTCTGACTGCAATGTCTAACTCCCATATGGTACCCCAACCCTCCACACCTGACATCTAGACCCCTAACTCTGATGATAAGCTGGAAGTCTCCAATGTGATCCTGGGGCCCCAAATTAGGACACCATTCTCCTTGCCCGGATAACAGAGGCCTGCCACCCAGGACATGCCTCCCTGCTAATGTGCCCCCTCCTCACCTCTCCAGGCTGGCCGGCTGCTCTGGGAACAGGAGCTGTACTCACAGTTGGTCTATTCCACTCCCACCCCCTTCTTCCACACTTTTGCTGGAGATGTGAGTGACCCCTCAACCCCTGGGCCTCAGGTGGGGTATGGGGAGGAGATGGGAAAGGTGTGTGTGTGGGGGGGCGCCTGGAAGGCTATTGAGCCCAAGATGTGTGCAGGCCTGCCAAGCAGGGCTGAACTTTGCAGATGAGGGCGAGGCCCAGGCCTTCCGGGCCCTGGTGCAGGAGAAGATCCAAAAAAGGAATCAGAGGCAAAGTGGAGGTGAGGAGGCCTTCGGGGAGGAAAGGAGGTTGGGCAGAAGTGTGTGCAAGAGTGGGGAGCTGGAGAAGCCCCTCTTATGGTTCTGGTTCCCAGTCCACCTGTCTCTCCACAGATAGACGCCAGCTACCCCCACCACCAGCACCAGCCAATGAAGGTGAGTCTTCACGTTCAAGGAGGTACTAAGGGGCTAGCCCAGGAATCTATGGCAGGGTTGTAATAGCTCTCTACCCATTCCATCTTTCCAGAGAGAAGAGGAGGTATCCCACCCCTGCCCCCACACCCAGGCGGAGACCAAGGGGGTGAGTGTTGATTCTTCCCTGTGTCTCTGGGTGGACAGGTGGGTGGGGGAGTAGATGGATAGATGGGTGAGGAGTGGGTGGATGGACGAGTAGTTGGGGAGTGCAGAGATAAGTGGGCAAATGGGTGGGTGGATGGGTGGGTGGATAGATGGCTGAGTGGAGGATGAATTGATGGGAAGATGAAAATGTAGATATATAGATGTATAGGTGGGTGTACAGATATATAGGTGAATGAGGATGTGGATATATGGATGAATGGATGGATGGGTGATTGACTCAGTTAATGAATGAGGGAATGAATTGAACAGCAAGTAAATGAATAAGTGACATAGCATTTCAATCAGTGAAGAAAGCAATGATTGACTGACTGAATGAATGAATGATTTAACAAATTAATTGGTTACTGAGCCATGAATGAATGAATCAATAATTAAGTGAAAAGCATGAGTGGATGAATAAATAAATGAATTGGTGAAGGTAAGAATGGTTTGTGGAACCCCCCCATCCACTTCTCAATAAACCCTAATTGGACCCCTCACCTACACCCTCCATGACCATCAAACACACACACACAGATTCCCCCAACACTCGCCCTATCTCTTGCCCCTATGCTTTGGTTGGTAGGTAAGTAGGTCAGTGGCTCAATCACCCTATTCTTCCCACAGGCCCAGCATCTGGCCAACTGTCCCTGGGGCTAGTAACAGTGGACATCCAGAACCCCGACATCACAAGTTCACGATACCGTGGGCTCCCAGCACCTGGGCCTGGCCCAACTGATAAGAAACGCTCAGGGAAGAAGAAGATCAGCAAGGCTGATATTGGTGCACCAAGTGGATTCAAGTGAGAACCTTTCCCCACTAGTCCCACAGATCCCTGTTGGGGGGGTGGGCAGATGAAAAGATGGGCAGGAAGAGAGCTGGGTGGATGGAAGGATGGAAGATGGATGGGTGGGTGGGTAGGTAGATGAGTGAGTAGGTGGCTGGGTGCAAGGCCAGGACTAAGGAGAGGCAAGTGAGGCACTAATGTTGCAAAATTTACAGAGGCAGCTATTCTAAGGGTCATGCAACTGCAGTTCATGACTCTGAGAGGGAGGGCCTCCTTAACTTTTGCGCCCTAGGCACCTCACTTGCTTCCCCTTAGTCCCACCCTGGGTGGGCTGGTGGGTGGGTAGATGAATGGCTGGATGAATGAATGAATGAATGAATGAATGAATGAATGGGTTGGTCAGGGAATGAGTGGATAGGTGGTTGGATGGATGGGTGAATGGGTAAATGGGAAGTGGGAGGGTAGATGGATGGGTGAGTGGATGAGTGTCTGGACAGATGGATGGATATCTGGTTGGTTCACCGAGAAGGTGGATGGGGATGGATAGGTGGCCAGATGCGTGGATGAACGGACAGTTCAATGGATAAATAGAAGTGTGTGGTTAAATAGGTAGACAAAAGAGTGGATGGATTGAAAGGTGGGCACATGGGTAGATGGATGGGTAGATGGACAAGCATGTGTGAAGACAGGTTGGCAGAGAAGCGGGTAAATAGATGTATGTGGGCAGATGAGTAGAAAGACAAATATACAATAGATGGGTGGTCTGACAGGTGAATGCAAATGGCTAGGTGGACAAATGGATGGGTGTATGGATGGTAGAAAAAGGGATGTTTGGACAGATGGGCAGTACAAACCATGGACCCCTTCTAATTCCATAACTACTGCTCTCATTCAGTCACTCATTCATTCACTTAGGTCTCATCCAGTAATTCTGGCCCCTCAGAGTCTCTCTGGGCAGGGGAGGGCAAGAGGGCTTCACTAGGAAGGGAGGGAAGGAAGGGCAGTGGGGCTTCACTGGGATCTCCTCACCTCCCCCAGACATGTCAGCCACGTGGGGTGGGACCCCCAGAATGGATTTGACGTGAGTAATTCCAAAGACCCCTTGACCCACTTAACTACCTGCCTACCCTTCCGTGGTCCACTGGCTCAGACCTACCCCCAGACCCCACCCTTTCTACACTCAGATCCCCCCTCTGGGGTGGACCCAATGATAATCCGTGCCCCTCCCCTATCCACCTTATTCCCCCACCACTGCCCTTGCCGCCTTTTTCCTCCTGGGCAGGTAAACAACCTGGACCCGGACCTGCGGAGTCTGTTCTCCAGGGCAGGAATCAGTGAGGCCCAGCTCACGGATGCCGAGACCTCCAAACTTATCTACGATTTCATTGAGGACCAGGGCGGGCTGGAGGCTGTGCGGCAGGAGATGAGGCGCCAGGGTGAGCACCCCCCTTCTTTTCCAGCCCTAGGAGCTGGTTCCTAAGAGATACACTGCAGTCTGTCAGTCCTCATGGGTACCCTTACACTGCTTGAATCAGGAGTTGGTCAGTTGGGGTGCCCATGTTACAAATGAGCAAAATCAAGGCTCTGAAGAGAACTGTAACAATAGCTCTGTGTTATTCCCCCCCCCCACAGAGCCGCTTCCACCACCCCCGCCGCCATCCAGAGGAGGAAACCAGGCCCCCCGGCCCCCTACAATCGGGAGCAACAAGGGTCGCTCTGGTCCACTGCCCCCTGTACCTTTGGGAGGTGCTCCACCCCCACCAACTCCCCGGGCACCCCCACCCCCAGGCCGAGGGGGCCCTCCACCACCACCCCCTCCAGCCACTGGACGTTCTGGACCACTGCTCCCTCCGCCCCCTGGAGCTGGAGGGCCCCCCGTGCCTCCACCACCACCACCACCACCCCCACCACCCAGCTCTGGGGATGGGCCAGTCCCTCCCCCACCTACTGCTCTGGGGCCTGTGGGGGGCCCGGCCCCTGGTGGAGGTCGGGGGGCACTTTTGGATCAAATCCGGCAGGGAATTCAGCTGAACAAGGTGAAGACGGGCGAGATGGAGGATTCGGGGGGGGCTCTGGGACTCGGGGGTGCTGGGCAAGTCAGGATCTTGGGGCCCAGGGCTGAAACTCGCAGAGGCCCCAGGCTTTTGGGTTTCAGTGACAGGGCTGGGAGGCCGGTGGGGAGAGGTAGGTTGGGAACCCTGAAGGGGAATGGAGTGTATGGGAGGGGAAATGATGAGGAAGGGGCAGGGAGGAGTGCTCCTGTCGCGGGCCTTGAACCCTCTGTGCTGGACCCCGCTTGCTGCAGACGCCCGGGGCCCCAGAGAGCTCAGCGCTGCAGCCTCCCCCTCAGAGCTCAGAAGGGCTGGTGGGAGCCTTGATGCACGTGATGCAGAAGAGAAGCAGAGCCATCCACTCCTCAGGTGAGAGCCCGCCCTTTGCCAGGACGGCCAGCCCGCTTCCCAGTGAAGACACCCCCACCGGCTACCACCAATAGTAACAGTCACTCCATCATGACTCTCGTGTCAATCTCCTTTTTGACAGTGTTAACACTGTCATCATGGAACAATAATAGAATTCACTCTATCTTTGCCGATAACATTAACATTAATCCCAGGGTAGGTCCACAAGATTAGTAAGAATCCATTACACGACAATATTTTAACAAGCCTCATCTTTTGACAGTGCGATCATCAATAACCCATTATGGGTCAACAGTATTAACATTAGCCTGCTATGAAATAGTAATATTGTAATGTACTCCACCTTCACTGTAATACTTAAATTCGCCCCATTAAGAAAGAAACCCAGCATTAACCCTTGTGTGACACCACATTTTTGACAGTGATATTAACTTCCATTCCAACTCCAGCCCACACCGTCACTCTCCCTCCTCTGAGGGGCCCCTTCTTCATTCAACTGCATGGGCCCCCAGGGGACCTCAGCCCCCCAGAACCCTGAGTCTTGACCTCTCAGACCCCAGGAACTTCACCCCACCCCTGGCCTTTGAACCCTTCTGCCCATCCTGAATCCCACTTTCTCTCTCCCTCCAGACGAAGGGGAGGACCAGGCCGGCGAAGAGGATGAGGACGATGAGTGGGACGACTGAGACACCCTCGCCACCTGTTCTGAGCCCCCTCCCCTGGCAGCCGCGGCTCGCTGCCCTCTGCTCCCGGCCTCCAGGGCCCTCAGGCCCCATTTCTTCCCCACCGACCCTTCCAAAGCTGGTCCCCAACATTCACCCTAGCAGGAGCCAGGGCCCCTTTTTATACAGAATTTCTCGGTTCTCCTCACATAAGGATTTTGAGACCAAAATAAAATAACTATCTTTTTGTTTCTCTAAATCTCAGTTGGTTTATATTCCAAATATAGAAATTTGGGGTCCTGTAGCCCCAAAGTCTCTTTTATTCATCTATCCCATTTCATTAATTTATTTATTCACTCATTTGTTCCCTCATTTATTTCTTTGTTCCCTTCTGCCCTTTATTTTTTTTTCAAAGATTTTATTTATTTATTTGACAGAGAGAGACACAGCGAGAGAGGGAACACAAGCAGGGGGGGTGGGAGAGGGAGAAGCAGGCTTCCCGCGGAGCAGGGAGCCCGATGCGGGGCTCAATCCCAGGACCCTGGGATCATGACCTGAGCCGAAGGCAGACGCTTAACGACTGAGCCACCCAGGCGCCCCTCTGCCCTTCTTTCTTCCCACAAACATTTGTTGCTGGGCACTATTCTCGGGGCTGGAGCTAAAGCCGTGGGAAGAAAACCTACTGACGCCAACATTCTAGTGGAGGAGACAGATATGAAACCAGGAATCAAATAGAAATGAAAGATAGTTACAGATGGTGACAAGGGCTGTGATATGCTGAGGGGGAATGGCCTTCAGATGGAACATCCAGGGAAGGCCACCAGGACGCTGTGACAGTCGTGCAGAACCTAAAGAGAGAGGAGTCAACCAGTAAATCTTTGGGGGGAGGGCATTCCAGGCAGAAGGAGCAGCTTATGCGAAGGCCCTGAAATGGGGGAAAAGTTTGGTGTGAGGTTAAACATGGTGAATTTGCAGGAGTTATTCGTTCAGTTATTTGCTTAGTTATTTTTTTTTAAGGTCCAATCGGCACAATATTAGATCAAGAGAATACTCAATGGTCAGACTTACTCTCCCATGCACACAATTCACACACCAGGATCCTGATGGGCAGGACCCCTCTCTCCATTTTAAAATTTGGTTCTGCCTAGTTCTCAGCGCAAACCAAGTCCTGGCCAGTGGCAGTGGAAGAGGCAAAGACTCAAACAGATCGGCTCTAGAACCTGGGCAAGATGCCCCACCTCTGAGCCTCAGTTTCTTTATCTATACAAGGGCGGTAACAATATGTAACTGATTTGCAACTGAGATCCCATTGGGTTCCCCCTCCTCTTCTAGGAATTACTCACCAGAAAAAAAGGAGCAACGCAAAACTGTCCCTGGTGTTTATTTATTTTTTTTAAGATTTTATTTATTTATTTGACAGCGAGAGAGGGAACACAAGCAGGGGGAGTGGGAGAGGGAGAAGCAGGCTTCCCGCCGAGCAGGGAGCCCGATGCGGGGCTCGATCCCAGGACCCTGGGATCATGACCTGAGCCAAAGGCAGATGCCTAACAACTGAGTCACCCAGGCGCCCCTGTCCCTGGTGTTTAAAGCTATTTCCAAGGGAGTGATTAGAAGCTCTTGCACATCAGAGCCCTAGCAGAGGTGTCTACTCCTTTCCATTTCTGAAATCTGGTGGATTCAAGACCTCAGGTATCCTACCTTTAGAGGAGGAGGAGGGGAGTGGGGAGAAAGATAACAGTGAGGAGGAATCCAGAGAGGACAGGCTTCATCCATCTGCAAGACCAGTGGAAGAATTTCAAATGATCTGAGGTGCAGGCTGGGGGTCAGAGGAGGGAGCAAAGGAAAGCCAGGGCCAGGGTAGAGGTGTGGGAGGTGGGAGCTGGCTTTGCTCTTAAGAATTCCCCTGTAGGGGCGCCTTGGTGGCTCAGTCGTTAAGCAACTGCCTTCGGCTTGGGTCATGATCTCAGGGTCCTGGGATCGAGCCCCTCATCGGGCTCCCTGCTCCGCGGGAAGCCTGCTTCTCCCTCTCCCACTCCCCCTGCTTCTCCCTCTCCCACTCCCCCTGCTTCTCCCTCTCCCACTCCCCCTGCTTCTCCCTCTCCCACTCCCCCTGCTTCTCCCTCTCCCACTCCCCCTGCTTCTCCCTCTCCCACTCCCCCTGCTTCTCCCTCTCCTACTCCCCGTTTCTCCCTCTCCCACTCCCCCTGCTTCTCCCTCTCCCACTCCCCCTGCTTGTGTTCCCTCTCTCGCTGTGTCTCTCTCTGTCACGTAAATAAATAAAATCTTAAAAAAAAAAAAAAAAAGAATTCCCCTGTAGCCACAGAAGCAGAAGAAGGAGGGAGTCTCGGGTTCCTTTTAACTCTTTCGTTGTGCTTCACCTTCCACTCCCACCCCACTTTGGCCAGGTCGCCAGGGGTGAGCTGAGTCTAGGAAGGGCCTGTCATTATCACTCACCTGCCTCCCCACTCCCTGCTAGGAAACCCCAGAAATCAGGGTGTCTTGGGACCCCCTCAGTACAGGGGTCCTGGAGAAGACCTTATATTACACAACCTCTGAATTCCCCAGGAGCGCTGCCTACAGCAGGCACGGGCTTGGCGGAAAAGAATTGACCGTGGACAAGTGGCTTGACCTTTCTGGGCCTCAGTTTTCTCGATCTTTAAACTGAGACTAAAAATGCATACTTCGCGGGGTTGCGGAGAGAATTCGAGTGTCTGCAAAGTGCCGGGCTCCTTGAGGCATCTACGAACACTAGATACTGCTGTTGTTGTTCTTCCTACTACTGACTGGTCCGGAGTCACCCTTGATCATAAAATGCACCATCATTGTATGTATCACCAAGAAAGACAAAAAAGTACTGCGAATTAAATTATGACTCACCAGTGCCTGGGGGATGCAGCCAGATTTCAGAGATGTTACAGATTTAAGTATTCCTGGAATCTGGTTGGGGATGTTCCTTTAACCTGCATTCTGGTTCCACGTGTATGTTTGCTTGTGAAAACTCGTGACGCTGATCACCCATGGTCAGTGCCTTCTTTCTGTATGTGTGGTACACTCGAGTACGAGGTTTACATTAAAAACAGGTCAAACCTGTACAGCTCGGAATGGATAAGACCTTATATTGGCCCCAGCACTGGGCAAGGCAATATAGACTTGGCACTAAATTAATGCTGAATGAACAGACAAGTGGCTGGGAGTGGGACACAAGAAGAACAGGGTGGCCTCTTACTTTCGAGGTCTCCTGGACAGATGCTAGTCCAGAAAGATTCATTTCCACACAAGCGGGAGATGTCCTCCCCAAGGTCACTCATCTGAGGTTTTACAGATGAAGAAACTGCCTGAGGTCACACAATTTAGTAAACGGTGGAGCTGGGATTTGAACTGGGGTAGCTAGGCTCCAAGACCCAAGCCTTTACCCACTGCATTATATATACTGTTATATATACTGTTTGGGGAGGACCACAGTATGAAAATTAATAAAGGGAAACCTTACTAAAATGGACTCAGGATGCTAGAAGGGGAGGCTGGTAGAGGAAACCTACCGCTCAATGTCAATTAGAGCAAAAAGTATCAATTACAGACCCAACCGAAGTATCTCAGTAGGAAAGAATGGTCAATTACAAGCCCCCCACGAGGGAAAGATATACATCGTAGCTCCTATAAGAAATTGACTACACCTGCCGCTCAGCCACTGAGAAACCATCATGGCTATGAACTCTTGCTTTTCTCCAATAGACTTTTGTTCCAAACAACCCCTCCCAACTTCCTCCTCCATAACATAATGTTCCTCTCCTTTGTTTATTGGACTTGCATATGGTTTTGCCATAGCTTGCTCGTCCTGCATTGCAATTCTCAGCCAGTCCTGAATAAACCAATCTTTTGCTGGTAAAATAACAAAGGGATGTTTGCCCAACACCCACAGACCCCCCATATGACCCCCTCCAGATTCAGTCATGCCTTAAGCCATTCTTATGAGTTGGACTGGACTCATTCTCCTTCTGGGAATAGGAGGGTTCTGCCTGTCCGGGGAGACGGAGGGCATGTGAGGACCAGCATCTGACTGTGTTCTAGAAGGAAAAAGAGAGGGAAGATGATGCGTGGTGGGGCGCATGCTGCTGGCTGTTCCACTCACGGTAAGCAGGGGCTGCGGGAACTTCAGACTGGCCATTTCTCCCAACTAGCTCACAGCTAGACTGGCAGGCCGACCGAACAACCATTTGCTTAACTGTATAATCATTTGGTTGCCTACATAACTCACGGACCCACAGGGAGGGGGGCAGTTTGAGGAACGGACGGTGCAATTTCCTGATGCGGTGAGGTACTGAATATCTAACGAAATTATGCCGGCCTAGGACCGGCTGGGGCTGGTGGTCTGAGAGCATGGAAGACCGGCAGCCTCCTGAGGGACTGACAGGCTGGCTGACTGATGGCCCGGGCTGTTGCTGCCCGCCTGGGGGGCGGGATGTTGTGAATGGCTGACGATTGCTGGGAGTCACGTCTGGCCTGAGGGAGTGTGTCTGGATGTGACGCCGGGGGTCCGGTGGTGCGTAAAGGAGGGCTACCCTGAGGGGATTTCAGGCTGACTGATGGCCAGATGTGTCACTGCCTGATAAGCAACTGTATCTGGTGAGTGGCTCTCCACCCAGACCGTGTGGCCCGTCAGACGCTGAGAATGGCTGCCTGGGGGGTTGACAATACGATGAAAGGCAGTGAACGAGTCACAGGCCAGCTGACCCACCGGAAGTATCAGTGTAGCCACCTGGTTGGATGGCCGTACCAGGTTGGAACCACAGCAGCCCTGAGGCCCCGCCTGGGTCAGAGGAGACTGACTGGATGACTGACCAGTGGTGGGCATGCCTCCCCTGAGAAGTGACAGACCGCTGACCCACTGTCAGGTGGCGTGGAGGCTTCCGTGAGGGAGTAACTGCCTGATGAGGGCGTGAATGAGGAGTCACCCGAGGGAATTAAAGATCGCCCAACTAGCAGTGGCTAGAATGTCTGCGGCTAGAATGTCTGCCCGAGAGGGCGACATTAGATGCGGACCATGACAGCCTGTCCCGACCTAATCACGGCCCGCCTGAGGCCACGGCTGGTGGCTGTGAGACGGTTTCCCCTGGGGCTTTCGGAGCTGCCCCCGGAGCAAGAGTACACGGAGAGACGGGCTGCTTGACTGGCTGTGTGCAAAAGGGGCCGCCGGAGGCAATGACAGGCTGGCTAACAGTGTAGCTGTTAGCGCCGTCTGTCTGCCTTGAGAGACTCGCAGCTGGCCCGAGGCTCGAATGGGTGCCGCTGTTGACTGGCAGACAGTGTGAATTGGCGGGGCGGGGCGGGGGGGGTCGGGGTCTGACTAAACAGTCGTCTGTGGTGATGGACCCATTGTCTGATTTGAGTCTGGGGGCCGGCTGAGCAGCTGTACGTGGCGACAGTCCCATCTTGGGAGTCACGGTCTGCTTGGGGTTAAAATGTGGTGACGACTGACTGACGGTGGTAACTGGGGGTCTGACAGGACGGAGAATCCCCCGTGCGGCTGGCTGACAACGTGATTGGCTGACAGCGTGACAGACAGACCGGCGGACGGGCAGGGCCTCCGGCAACCTTACTTGCCTCCGCCGCCGCCGCCCAGACGCACTCTGGGAAAGCGCTGGCGAGCATCCGCCTTCGGGACCGAGCGGGGTGGCGGGGAGGGGTCCGGTCACGGCTCGCCGGTTGGTCCGCGCGGGCGCTGCTCGCGGCGCCGCGCGGCCAATAGGCTGCGCGTTCTCGGCCACGCCCGCGCGAGCTCTCTTCTCGCGAGGCCGGTTAGGCCCGAATGTCGTTAGCCGTGGGGAAAGATGGCGGAAAATTTAAAAGGTGAAGCAGTGGCGGCAGCGGCGCGGGCCTGCTGGCCGGGCCGGGTGGGCTGGAGGGGTGGCGTTGAGGGCTCGGGGCCCCGGCGTCCGAGGCCACGGAGCCGGGAGCCGGAAGCCTGGCGCGGAAAGGATGGGGCTCAGGGAGCCCGGGCCTGGCGCGCGGGGCTGGGCGGGGCTGAGGGGAGGGGGCGCGTGCCTCGGAACGCGGCGGGCGCGGGGCTAAGTGGGGACGCGGGAGGGGGGGCGCGCGCCTCTGATCGCGACCAGTCGGCGCGCGCACGCGCGGGGGCTTGTCGGGGAGGCCGCGCCCGCGCGCGGGAAAATCGGCCGCCGGTGACCGTTACCCGGTTGGTGTCCACGCGAGACGCCGGAAGGGGAGGGAAGGGAAGGGGACGGACCTCTTTTCAGAGTGGGGGGACAGAGGACTCTTCAGGGTGAGGGTACCTCCTTTCCGCGTGATGGGGAAAGGGTTTGCTGTAGAGAAGACTCCCCTGGGAAGAGGGGAAAGGGGCTTCTCTAATAGAAGAGCTGGACTCCCTCGTGTGCAGGGGAAGTGGGGTGACTTTTCCAGTATGTTGGGGAGGGTGGGCTCTTCTGGGTGAGAAAAGCTGCGGGGAGGATGGGCTCCACGGTGTGAGGGGGACCTCTGAGGGGTAGGAATCCACCTGTGGTCAGTGCGGAGCCAGCAGCTGGAGAGGTTAGTTGGGACCACTGTAGTGGGTTTCGAATGCAAGTTAAGGGGTTTGAAAGGGAGAGGCATCATAGGGAGAGGAAAGCGTGGGCACAGGCTGAGTCTCCACTAGGCCTGCCTAAGTGGGGGGGGGGGTGCACACGAAATAATTCTGCAAAGCTCTTGTACGTTTTCAGGTTGACGTCTAGAGTATTTCATTATGAGTTCCGATGTTTGATTTTTGTAATGGGAGGTAGGAAATATTAAAGATAGGATGAGGACTGACTGCATTTGGAATGAGTGTTCTATGGAATGATTTGATAAAATGGCTTCTAAAGCACATTGTGCCTTGAATCAGAATTCTTTTTTAAAAAATCCGCATCTTGAAAATTTCTGATAGCCCCAGAAACATTCCAGGTATATTTAAAAGAATCGTCAGTAACCTATGCTGTTTTGCTGGTTCCTGAATTCAGAGCATACTCCTTTGGGTGGGCTTTACCCTTCACAGAAATGTAGATGAGACAGCCAAAATGCAGTGTGAAAAAATATACCTTGCAGGTTTAAGGGACCCAGGCTAATCATTCAAGGAAGCTTCCTGAAATCTAATACCATTCCACAATCTCTTCTTCCTAATTCTGAAAACTTAAGTTTGGCACCATTCAGTGGCAAAACTACATGATAAGGTGGGACTATCTTGCCTCTTTATTTCTCCTATTTAATGTAAAAATTCAGATTTTTTGCTGCAGAATTATTAATGTGTTTGATTATGGCTTGATGCCCCTGACCACACTGGGGGTGTTAGGTAGTGTCTGGGGCATACCTAGAACTACACTTGTAAAAATTAAAAAAAAAAAAAAAAAAAAAAAAAAATCTGAATTCCTAAACACAACTAGCCCCAGGAGTTTCAGATAAGGGATTCCGGACCAGTCTTTCCAGTTAAGCCTTTGTTTGGTGCCTACAGGTTGTAATCCCATCCCCACCAGTTCCCCTGGGGCAATGCACCCTACTGAGATGGGGGGGGGTTGTTCTCTTTATTTTGCAAAGTGGGGAGAGGGATGATTAGGTCCTGAACCCTAGGCCCGTTTGCGGGCAGTTTTAGGAATAGTATGGAGGGAGTTGGAAGCTCTGGGAATAGATTCCTTTAGGATAATCCATCCAGCAGATCCCACTTTGAGGTCTACTGCTCCAGGGGTAGCCTTGGAATGAGCACTGGGGTTGAAGAAGTGGCACATTTTTGTTGTAGAAGGGTGTCAGCATTGGGAAGACCTGTGGATTAAATCTCACTGACTCTGAGGCAATCCTTTGGAAGTCCCAGAGAGGATTTGGGGTCCCCTTTGACCCATGGCTTCGCCAGGATGCCCATTAAGTTCTTTCTGCTCTCCGTGTTCTAGGCTGCAGCGTGTGTTGCAAGTCTTCTTGGAATCAGCTACAGGACCTGTGCCGCCTGGCCAAGCTCTCCTGCCCTGCCCTCGGCATCTCCAAGAGGAATCTCTATGACTTTGAAGTCGAGTACCTGTGTGATTACAAGAAGATCCGCGTGAGTCTGGGGTGACCTTGGCCAGGGCAGGGGTGTCTCAAGGAAGATGGCTTGCTGCCCCTTTGCCCCCACCCCCACTGCCTGCATCTGTTTCCAAAGGGAATTTTCTCCTCTAATCTTAAAAAATTAGGTTTAGTAGGACTTCTTATCATCCTCATTTTGCAGGTGAGGAAACAAGGTGGCTTTCTCAGGGGGGTAGGAGCCAGAATGAATCCCCAACTAAGTCTCTCTTCCCACCTCCATAGGAATACAAACCAGTTGCAAAGATTGAGGTGCTGAGCCCAGGAAGGGAGCGGATGATAGCTAGCAATTATTGAGCACTTTCAGTGTGCTGGGCACTTCCTCTCAGAAACTCATTTAATCCCCCCAGCAACACTGTGAAATGGGAACTGTTACCATTGCCAGAGGAGGCAACAGCAGGATAAAGAGAACATACTAGAACCAGTATGGTTGGGTTCAAATTTTGGCCCTGTAGCCCTGGGATACTTACCCACATTCTCTGTGGTTCATTTTCTTCATCCGTAAAATGGAGATGACTAGTAGTATCTAGCTCATACAGAGTTGTGAGGGTTAAATTAGTTAATAAAACATTGAAGTTACTTAGAACAGTACCTGCTGCGTGCGGAATGCTAGAAAAATGTCAGCTTTTTTTTTTCTTACTTATAGATGAGGAAACTGAGGGTCAGCAAAGTTAAATAACTTGCGAAGGCCACCTGGCCAAGGAGCTGCAGATTCAGAATTTGTACACAGTGTGTCTACCTGTAGAATCTGTGTGGTTAAATAGTATCCTCTAGCTGCTCTCTGCAAGAAAATATCCCTCTGCCACCTGAGTGGAGAACAGACTAGGGGCAAGGGTGGGACTGGGGAGACTGGTGAGGAGGCCTACTACCTTCTAATTCAGGCGAGCGATGATGGGGGTGGCAATGACGTTGGTTTGAAGTTGTTGGATTCTGGATGTAGTTTGAAGGTGAGGCTGACAGGAGTTGCTGAGGGTGGATGTGGGGACTAAGAAAGTTGTGACTCCCAAGGGTTGGGGCCTGAACAGCTAGAAGGAGGGGGCTGATGAGAGGGAAGATAGAGGAGGGAGTAGATTAGATTAAAACTTGGAATTTGGACAGTGGTAGCGGGGAGCGTGGGATTTGAACCTAGGGATCCTCGGGCTAGAGCCCGCGCTTTGTAACCACCGCATAGAGTCATTCCAGAAAAGGCGCCCGGAGTGGTTTGGGTCTGATCCACCAGCTTGGGGATGCAAGTTCCACAAGGGCTGGGCCAAGGGTATGGCCGCTTACGGTGCCCCCATCCCCTGGTCCCCCCAACAGGAACAAGAGTATTACCTGGTAAAATGGCGTGGATACCCAGACTCCGAGAGCACCTGGGAGCCACGGCAGAATCTCAAGTGCGTGCGCATTCTCAAGCAGTTCCACAAGGACTTAGAAAGGGAGCTGCTCCGGCGGCACCACCGGTCAAAGCCCCCCCGGCACCTGGACCCAAGCTTGGCCAACTACCTGGTACAGAAGGCCAAGCAGAGGCGGGCGCTCCGGCGCTGGGAGCAGGAGCTCAATGCCAAGCGCAGCCACCTGGGACGCATCACCGTGGAGAACGAGGTGGACCTGGACGGCCCCCCGCGGGCTTTCGTATACATCAACGAGTACCGTGTGGGTGAGGGCATCACCCTCAACCAGGTGGCGGTGGGCTGCGAGTGCCAGGACTGTCTGTGGGCCCCCGCTGGAGGCTGCTGCCCCGGGGCGTCCCTGCACAAGTTTGCCTACAACGACCAGGGTCAGGTGCGGCTGCGCGCCGGCCTGCCCATCTACGAGTGCAACTCCCGCTGCCGCTGCGGCTATGACTGCCCCAACCGCGTGGTGCAGAAGGGCATCCGCTATGACCTCTGCATCTTCCGCACGGACGACGGGCGCGGCTGGGGCGTCCGCACGCTGGAGAAGATCCGCAAGAACAGCTTCGTCATGGAGTACGTGGGAGAGGTAGGGAGCCGGGCCCCGACGTGCGCGCGCGCGCGCGCGCGGGCAGCTCTTCGGCCACGTGCTCCCACCGCGTGCGCCCAGCTCGCCTCACTGTGTGCCTGCCGCTTCCCTGATTTTCCTGTCCGGGGAAAGGTGGGGGCGGTTGGCCTGAGTGTGACAGGGACTTCCTGGCAGGGGCGTGCGTTTCCAGCTGGTAGTTGAAAGCGCAGCGGAATACTTCTGGACTGGGTTGCCTTCTTAAGGGTACCTGGCAAAGAGGGAGGCGGGAACCGAAATGCAGGCAGAGTTCCTTTTATCAGGCCATGTACTTGAGCATAGGGTTGCGTCACCTGGAAAGGCTCCACTTCTCGTTTCGCAAGGGTTCAGCTTACCACCAAGCAGTGTCTGACCAGGAGGAGCGCCTTTTACTACTCGGAACACGCACACTCTGGAGTAGGACGTAGACATGCCTTATGTTGGCTGCCTCTTCCTCCAGACTTGCAGGACACTGGGGACAGGCCAGGTATACAGTTGACCCTGGAACAACATGGTGGGGGGGTGGTAGTTAGGGGCACCGACCCCGCGTAGTCAAATCGGCCTGTAACTTCTGACTCCCCAGAAACTTAGCAACTACTAGTAGCCTACTGTTGACCTTACCGATGACATAAACAGTGGATTGATACATACTTTATATGTTGTATGTATTAGATAATGTATTCTTACGGTGAAGTCAGCTAGAGAAAAGAAAATGTTAAAACAGTCATGAGGAAGAGAAAATAACACTTACAGTACTATACTGTATTTATCGAAAAAAATCTGCCTGTAAGTGGGCCCATCTAGTTCAAACTTGTGTTGTTCAAGGGTCAGCTGGACTAGGCAGGCTAGCTGCCATACCATATAACCCCCAAATCTTAGTGGCTTCCCACATTCGAAGTCTCTTCGCTCCTGTGTCAGGCCAGCATGGGTATTTGGGTAGTGTCCTTGCATACAGTGGCGTGGCCACCTAGGCTCCTTCCCTCTTGAGCCTTTGCTGTGCCTCAGAGCCGCCCCCTGATGCTCACTCTGCATCGCTGGCAAGTGGGCCGAGAATCGGGGTGGAAGGGGAGGTTGCTCATGGGCCAGGCTAGGACACAGTGCCCATCACTTCTGCCCACACTGACTGGCTGGAGCCAAGTCACTGGCCTCATCGTGGTGTGAGGGAGGCTGGGAAGTGTGACTCAGCCATGCGCCTAGGTGGAAAACAAAAGGAGTATGTGTGTGAATAACCCGCAAGTGTCTGTAACAGCAAGTGTCATGTTCTAAGGTAGGACGTGGTGTGCATTTGGGGTGGAGCAGTTCTTTTTATGTAGGACTGTCTCACGCATTGGGGAACAATTAACATCCCTGGACCTTGACCAGTTAGATCCGTGAGTGTGTTGTCATGGTGATAACCCCAGATACCTTTGTATTTCTTAGCAGTCTCTTAGGGGTGTGATATGGTTGGGAAGTGACAGAAATTGGCCTAAGGGACACACACCTGAAGGTGTCCACACTGTAGTAATGACACTGATGGAGAGGAGAGGCTCCCAATAATAAACCAAAAAGCAGAGAGGGTCATAGCCTCGGGGGGCAGAGATGATGTAGAGGCGGAGCAGTCCACACCCTGACAGTCTAGACGAGAAGTCCACACTCAGATAATCTCGATGGTCTGGTGGAAGAAGTGTCCACACGTCGAAGGACCTGCCAGTCTGGAGGAGGGAGTAGGTGGCCATACCCCAGAGGGTTCCTGACAGTCTGGGGTAGGGGGCCTGACAATTTGTGGGAAGAGGTGTCTCCGTCCCAGAGTGACCTGGAGGAGAAGAGCGAGCTCTCCACACTCCACAGGACCCTGGCAGTCCAACTTAGGAAGTGTCTACACCCACACTGTCCTGACAGTCAGGAAAAAGCAGTATCCTCACCCCCGAGGGATCGGGACAGTCTGAAGGAGATCACGTCTACACCTAAGAGAACTCCCAACAGCCTGGAGAAAGTGTCCATACCCCCAGTGTCCTGACACTCTGGGGGGATGTATCCAGACCTCCAAGGGATGCTAACAGTGGAGGAGATGTTAACAGCCTAGAGGGGTGTCACCAGTCTGAAGGAGGACATGTGCACACTCCAGAGCCCCTGACAGTCTGGAGGTGTCCAGCCCCCACAGGAGCCCGCCAGTTCTAGAGGAAGTCCGGGAGAAGGGAGTGTCTCCAGCCTCACTGTACTGACAATCTTGAGGAAAAGCTCTTTACAACACAGAGGATCCTGACAGGTGAAGAGGAGGGAGAGTCTGCAGCCCCCGAGGACTCGAGAGTCCCCTGGTCAGGGTGCTGTTCTGGCTGTTCTTCCTTAGTGTCTGTCCTGTTCCATGCTGTAAAAACATTGGGGCCTTCAGGGCTCCTCACCCCTGTCCCCCCTCTTCCCGCTCCACAAACACTCTCCTTAAGCTATTTCTTGGCCTCCTTCCTGCCATGTTCTGTGACTTCCAGGCCCAGTTCTGACACTCTCAGACCCGTGGGGCCTCCTGATGGCACCATAGGTCCCCAAACGCTGCCAAAGCCAAACTCCTCTTCGTGCATCCCCTGTGAGGAGGCAGCGGAGCCAAATGGTCAGGAGGTTGGAGCCGAGCTCCCACCACTGAGCGGCAGGCACTTACCCTTTTTGTGTTTCAGTTGCCCAATCTGTAGAATGGGAATGGTAATAGCACCCACATCATTCACTTGTTACAAGAATTAAATGAGTTATGATGTGTGAAGCACTTGGAAGAAGCACTTGAACAGCAAGTCTTCAATAGATGTTAGCCGTTACAGTCTACAAGTCAGAAAACCCAAAGTCTTTGGTAGCCCATATGGCCAGAAAACCCAGCCAGACCTGATCTGGGCCTGATTTGTAGCCTAGTTATCCCACTTGGGGTGCATATTCATAGATTTCATTATAGGAGTATTCATTCACTCGGTTACGTGGTGCTGTCCCAAACCCTACCTGGTGTCCCATAATCGAGGGCAAGCACCCCATATCTGGTCGCCAAGCTATCCTACAATCTGGACACGACATGTGCCCTCCCACCTCTGCACCAGTGGTCCCTCCACGCGAGCTGCCCGTCCTCTCCTTTGGACCCTTCCATGTTCCATCAGAACATCCACCCTCGCCCAGCAGAGAACAACAGCCTAGCTTATCCAATCTAAGACCTGCATTTGCTTCATATTTTACCAACCCCGAAACGAAGGTGCGTATCAGTTTAATTAAATGACGGTACGTCATCATTTAATTAGCAGTGTTTCCTTTCTCGGGAAAGGGCACATAAAAATAAGGGAGCGTGTTCGACTGGGATAGGACTGGTTGGTACTCACAACCATTCCTAACAGTGCTCAGTGTCAAGAACAGAAACCTCGTTCCCGTCCCTGATCGCGCTGGAGCTTGACAGCAGCCCCCGTCAGGTTGGTGTTACCGTCGTGGTCATCCCCATTCTACAGACGAGAGCCGAGGCTCAGAGAGAGAGTAACGTGCCTCAGAGTCACCAAGCTAACAGTGGGTAAAAAAAGGCCCAAGTGTCTAAAACGGGTGTGCTTCCAGACCTGGTGGAGGGTTTTTGTTTTGTTTTGTTTTTGTTTTTTTGGCCGAGGCAGTAGGCAGAAGGAGCGAACATTCAGGATCCCCTATCCAGATGGGGGCAGGGCAGCGGCTGGCCTCCGGAGTCTTCTGGGTCCTGTTCACTGCCCACACCCTTTCCAGGCTGCCAGCTTCTAGCCTATCTGTCTTCCCCAGTCATTTTGGAGAGCTGCTAGGGAGCAGGGACGTGGCCTGCTCTGTTCCCGAGTTTTCAGGGTAGACCTGCCCTTACTGAATGGGCCTGGGAAGAAGACTGGAGAAGGAGCCCTTTGTGGCCTGGAGGGCTCCTCGTGTGACTCACTCTCGGTGAGACTCGGGAAGCAGGTAGAGGCAGAACAGGCGGGAAGATGGAGACCGGGAGGATGTGGAAAGGAAAAAGCTGGCTCAGACACCACCCAGCAGGCTCGCGAGCCAGCGGAGGCTGCCCTTCAGTCCCAGGCCTTCGGAGAGCTTCGGGGAGGCGGTAGCTTCCGCATGGCCGCCGGGGGTCGGGAGGCCCAGGAAGGCAGCAGAGAAGTAACAGCCGTTGTGCCGACTGCACAAGGAGCGTGTGTTCTCGGGAGGTGGACGGAGACTGACCTTGATGTACTCCTCCTCGGAACACTCCTGTGGCTCCTGTTGGGTCCCTCGGGAGACACTGGTGTCAAAGCTCTTTTGTGACCTGTAGCTTGCTTTAGATGCCGTATTGCTTTTCTCCTGCCCTGGGACCCCGAAGCACTGGGTTTCCTAATCAGCATCTTGCGCTGCGGGCATCTGAGTCCGTCTCTCTTTCACCAGACTGTGACCCCGGAGGGCCAGGGCCAAGCCTGGTTCCTGTTGTCTCCCCTGAGCCACCCAACTGGGACTGCAGTGGGCACCCCCTGCAGACACGGGCCCCTGAGTGCTGGGACCAGGCACAGGGTAGGCCTCCTAAAAACCCACGAAATCAACAAGTGAACGAACAAGCACACATTTGGAGCGTGGGGGCGCCAGGTTCCTCGGAATGGAGCTGGAGTGCGGGGCAGTGAGCCGTGTGGCCTGAGGGGCAGACCTTGGTCTTCTCAAGGCGCTGATGAGGATTTGGCCGGGAGCAGAGGCTGGAGGTGCTGGTGTAAGAGGCAGGGAGGAGACGGCGAGGACTCCAGCGTGGCCATCCAGGACGGAGGAAGTGGAGGGTGGTCGTGGCTGGTGTGAGGGTGAGCGAGCCAGGAAGCCAGGGCAGGTCTGGGCTTGCGTCGTGTGGCAGGGGTGGTGGTGGCCAGTGGGTCTCTGACGAGAGGGAAGAAGGGGTGTGTGGGGGGCAGAGTGTTCGAGTTGCCTCGAGGACCACCGCGGGACAGAGGATAGGTCACTGGGCTGGGCAGCAGAGTGAAAATAAAGGGTACTTGGGCGTTCCTGCTTTGCGCTGTGCGGGCGCTTGTCTCTCGAGGGGTGGGCAGAGGTAGCAGGAAGCCCAGGAGTGGAGAAGGAGATCTGCCCGGGCTGGAGGCAGCCCTCGGCTGAGGAGGGGGCAGTCTTGGGTCCCAAGGGACCATCCCCCAGAGCAGGGCGTGGTTGGCTCTGCTACGGGATTACCAGGAGGCTGTGGTGGTTGGCCCAGGGGGAAGAGGGGCCGTGAGGGGCCGTGAGGGGCGGGGAGGCGGGGCTTTCTAGGATAGCCAGGGACCCAGCCGGGCAGGAGGAGAGGTCTGCTGCTATCTTAGACCCCAGTTGCTGGCACCAGGTGGCATCAGGGCCGAGGGAGAGCGCTCACCCGTGCTCTTGCCTCCTTTCTTTCACCCTCTGAGATTCTGGCCTTAGCTTCGTTCTTGCCATCTCAGACTCTCCACAAGGGTCTTGAGCTCTCTGGACCAGGGTCTGTCTGTTTTGTTTTTTTTTTTTTAAGATTTTATTTATTTATTTGACAGAGACCGCGAGAGAGGGAACACAAGCAGGGGGGAGTGGGAGAGGGAGAAGCAGTCTCCCCGCTGAGCAGGGAGCCCGATGCGGGGCTCGATCCCAGGACCCCGGGATCATGACCTGAGCCGAAGGCAGACGCTTAATGACTGAGCCACCCAGGAGCCCCAAGGACCAGGGTCTTTCATACTAAGATTCTGTCCGTTTCTAAGTCTCTGCCTCCAGCTCACTTGTCTGAGTCTCTCTCCCCTTCATTCCGTCTCCCTTTCCCACCGGTCCAGGCCGCTTTCTCCTCTCCGTGCCCTCATGCCCGCGCCGCCTCGGGCCCCTTTGCGGCCTCTCCGTCCCCCAAACACCCACCGCTCTCTGTGAGCCCTGGGTCCTTTTCTTGCCCTTGAGCTCCTCCCCGTGTCTCATATGGGTCTCTCTCACTACTGGACCTTGTGGCCGGCTTCCGGGTACCAGTGAGAGACGCCATGCCCTCCAGAGGCCTGAGGAGGGGTGGGTGGCGGGCAGCTGAGGCCCAGCCCCCTTCTCAGGGTGCTGACAGACCCTCTGCATTGCAGCCCCCATGTGTCCATACCTGCTAACCCTGCTGAACCAGCCCCAGCTCTGCTCATCTGTTCTCCCGGCCCAGGGGAGGAGGGCGGGGGGGGGGGTGTCAGGAACTCTGCTGGTTTTCATGAGCCGCCTTGGCCGTTCTCCCCTCTCTCATGGCCCTTTCCCAGATCATTACCTCAGAGGAGGCGGAGCGGCGGGGCCAGATCTACGACCGCCAGGGTGCCACCTACCTCTTCGACCTGGACTACGTGGAGGACGTGTACACCGTGGATGCCGCCTATTATGGCAACATCTCCCATTTTGTCAACCACAGTGTGGGTACCCAACAGGCGGGCGGGGGTCGGGAGGAGCAGGCTGGGGCCCCTCCTCACCCTCCCGCTGTTCTTTCTCGCCTAGTGTGACCCCAACCTCCAGGTGTACAACGTCTTCATAGACAACCTTGATGAGCGACTGCCCCGCATCGCTTTCTTTGCCACAAGAACCATCCGGGCAGGCGAGGAGCTCACCTTTGATTACAACATGCAAGGTGGGGGTGGCAAGGGACTGGGGGCAGGGGCACACAGTGACATGGGACACGAAGACCCCTCCCCGAGGAGCTTTAAGAGGCCCTTCCTGACTTTCAGTGTCCCATCTGGACTCCTGGACCTCTGCCTACCACTTGGGGGTCCCCTCATTTCCAACCCCTGAACCCCACCCTTGAGATACTCCTACAGACTTCTCCCAAGACTCCTGGGGGAGGATGTTTGGCTTAAGAGTTAAGACACTCCTCCTGATTTATCTGAATTTCCCCAGTGCCCCCAATCCTCCCCACTCATTCCAAGTGTTCAGACATTCTTGTGGCCTCCAACCAGTCCCCTTCTTGACAGACCAACCACCTCCGAGACACTCAAGGGGGGGAATCCTTGACAGGAGGGTTTAGGTGCCCCTCTGGATGTGTAGGTGACCATTCCTGACTTCTGATTTGGCCTTTCCCCTGACAGTACCCTGCCTCTCTCCAAAACCCCGAACCCCTGGCCATCTTTCCAACACCTGAACATCCCTCCAGTGCTGAGCCCTGGCCTTATCTCTAAACCACCAACCCCACAACTCCCTCCCGACCCAAATCCCAGATGTGCTCCCAGCACCCAAGATTCCTGGGTCTCATGGTGAAAAGGGCAGTGGGACACTTCACCTTGGCCTTCTAACAAGTCCCCTCCTCCCCCCCCCCCCCGGCTGTGAATCCACAGTGGACCCCGTGGACATGGAGAGCACCCGCATGGACTCCAACTTTGGCCTGGCCGGGCTCCCCGGCTCCCCCAAGAAGCGGGTCCGTATTGAATGCAAGTGTGGGACTGAATCCTGCCGCAAATACCTCTTCTAGCCCTTTGAAGTCTGAGGCCAGACTGCCAGTGGGGGCCTAAAGCCGCCCGCTCCACCCACCCACCGCTGCCCTCCTGTTGAGGAATGACTGCCAGGGCCTCCTGCCTCTACCTACCCCCACCTGCCCCGTGCTTGGGGATGTGGGGTTGCGGGGAGGACTGACCGACTCTAGGAGTCCCCTTTCCCCATCCCAGCCCCATCTGTGGGTTGCACTTACAAACCCCCACCCACCTTCAGAAGTAATTTTTCACCACCAGGACTTTCTGCGGTTGAGATTCATGGCCTATCAAGGAGGTCCGAGGGGTGAGCCCCAGCCTGGCCCCAGAACGGAAGGATGTTTATTTTTGCACCTGCTTCTGCCTGGAGCTTGAGGGGTCTGTTGCAGGCCCTCTTCCTACTGCCCCAAGGGTGTGGGGAAGCAGCCCCAGGGCAGGCTGATCTCAGAGCCCCGAGTTCCCAGCCCTCTTGTTTCCCCTGCCACAGAAACTTTGTGCAAGTGAAAGAAAGGGGATCCCTGGGGCTGGGACTGGAGCTGGGGCTGGGGCTGGTTTCTGCTCCTGTGCTGGCTAGTGTTGGGCCTAAGAGCTAGAGGATCTCTTCTTCAGGGTTGCGCATCCGAGAAGTGGACACTCCCATGCTGCTGGAAGAGGGGTGGGCGCCCATGGCCCACTGACTAGTGAGGCGGGCAGGCCCGACTTTGCCAGCCCTGACGGTGGGCGGGCTCTCAAGTTGGCCTCCGGAGTGCGTATAGGAAGGCACCCGGGGCTCTTGACAGTGTGGAGGGTGCTGGGAGCCCTGACCTGGGCCGTGACGACTGCTGGGACTTCTGTGAGCTGGAACCAAGACCTAGCTAGGCTGTAGATAAGCACTTAGGACAAAAATGTGCATTGATGAGGTGCCAGGCACTGGGCAGAGCACCTGATCCACGTGGATTGTCTCAGGGAAGCCTTGGAAGCTATGGAGGTGGACCCCAGGAAAGGGCGCACGTGGCAGAAGGCAAAGTACAGGCCAAGAAGGGCAGGGGGGCAGGCCTGGTTTACCCGGGAGGGTACAGTAAGGTGAGGGAGGTCGCCGCCTGCCAGCCCTGGCCTCCAGGCCCTCTGCACTCACCTTGGGTTCACTGGTCTCAAAGGGACCCGCCCGCCAATAGACACAAGGCAGAGGCTCTGATGGCGGCCTTAACCCCTTGCTTCCCCTGTGAGGTCTTCTCTAGGAAGCCTTCCCTGACTACCTGTGCTCAGAGTGCCCCTACGTGAGACTGTGCCCTGCCGCCAGATGCCAGATCTGTGTGTGTGTCTGTGTGTCTGTCTGTGTCCGTGCTCCCTGCCCCCAGACTGACCTTCAGGCATGGACTGAATCTGATTCTCCTCTTGTATATCCCTTGGCCCTACCCAGCCTGGGGTGGGCATCAATAAAACAAATCAGTGACTGAACAAACCAAGGTGTGGGGATTGAAGACCTCGTGTAGGTGGGGGCCCGAGAAGGTGGGTGCTGGGGCGCCCAGGAACGTTCTCAGACTGCAGCCATCGGCGGTAAGGCAGCTCGCCACGAGGAACCGCTTGCACCATCATCATAGATTGTGTGACCTAAAATAAGCTTGCTTTTTAAAATGCACTGAAAGAGCAAACTAAGTCTGGGCACCTGGGTGGCACAGTCGGCTGAGCGTCCGACTCTTGGTTTCAACTCAGGTCGTGATCTTGGGGTCGTGAGATGGAGCCCTGTGTCGGGCTCTGTGTTCAGTGCAGAGTCAGCCTGGGGTTCCCCCTCTGCCCCTCCCTGCTGCTCACTGGCGCACACTCTCTTCCAAATAAATCAATCTTAAAAAAAGAAACCAAATCTATTGCCGTCTAAATGAACCAACTGTTATCACTGGTCATAAAAATAAATACAGTAGAAATATAGAAATATAATTCGAGCTGGACCCTCCCTGCTCTCCGAGGCCTTGAACCCAAAGCCTACCTACTGCAGAGAGAAAAGTCTCTGTGTACTGGGGGAAGCTTTTTCCGCAGGTGGTTCTTGGGTGCCTGTGTGTGCCAAGGTAGAAAGCAGAGAACAGACATGACATTCCCAGTAAGCTTGTTTTCATCACCTCTCAGTTGGGAGTGTGAGCCAGTGCCCTTTCCTTTGCTCAAGAGACCTCATACACAGTGACACAGATACCTATTTTGAAGACCTCACACACAGGTGACAGAATCCTAATTGGCTCAGAGACGTCACAGGGCACCTAGGACACAGCCTTCCGGACAGCTCATAGACCTCATTATACCCGGATACTGACCCTAGACCTCTGAGACTGCACACCCTGGGATACCTATCTCCGAGCAGCTCTGAGATCTTGCACCTGGACACAGACCCCAATTAACTCAGAGGCTGCACTGGAACTATGGGACAGACTCCCCAAGAGCGCCAAGACCTCGAACGTCACCTCATACACTGGGATTCAGAGCCCAAACCACATCAGAGAATGAGCTTTCTGGGCTAGAGATGCACAGACATCTCAGACTTCGCAACCTGGGATACTGCTACCCAAGCTATTCGGAGCCTTCACACCCTGATTGTCAACTCCCAAACTGTTTGGAGACCTCATAGCCTGGGGCAGACCCCCAAAAGTAGAGATGGGACACCCTGGACACAGACTGCCCAAACACTGAGACCTCATACTCTGAGCACAGCTCCCTAAATGATTCTGAATCCACTTACCTTGGACACAGACCCCCAGACTGCTCAGAGACACCCTGGAAAGTAGAGCACCAAACATCCCAGAGACCTCTCCCTAGAGCAGAGTGCCACAAACAACTCAGAGACTCAAGTCTTAGAAGCAGACCCCAAAAAGCATAGAGATCTCACAGCCCAGAAACAGACCCTGTTCAGAGAATTCCAAGCCTGGGAAACCCATCTATATACAGCTCAGTGACCCCACACTTTCTGGCACAGACCCCTAAATAGTTCACGGTCAGGACAGCCTAGGAAAGACTACCAAACTTAAGAGACCTCTCACTTTGTAACCCACACACCCAAAGAGCTCAGAGACCTGAAAATCTGATTACAGACCCCACCCCACCCCCGCCACACACACACACAAAGCTTCACAACTAGGGATAAAGACCCACAATTCCTCAGAGAACTTACAAACTGGAATAAAGATGGACAGACAGTTCAGAAACCCCACACCCTCTTCTCAGACCACCAGACCAACTCGGAGACCTCATGCCTTGAACAATACTAGAGCGCTCCAAAATCACATACACTGCAACACAGGCCCTAAACCAGCTCAGATATCTTGCACCCTTGACACAGATTCCTGCTCAGAGACGTCACGTACTGGACACAGATGTCCCCCCAATAGCTCAGAGCCTTCATACACTGAGACATCCCCAAACAACTCAGAGGCCTTCCACTCCAGTTCACAGAAGAGCTTAGAGACCTGAAAACCTGGACACGAATCCTCTACGTAGCTCAGAGACTGCACACCCTGTAAGACCAACCACAAATAACTCAGATCACACATCCTGGATGTAGACTCCTAACAGTTTAGAAACCTCATATCCTAGGCTCACATCGCCAAACAGCTCAGAATCTTCAGACTCTCCACAGACGTCCAAATGATGCAGAAATATCACACCCTGAACTCAGACCCCTAAACCATTTATGGAACTCCCACTTTGTACTCCTATCCAGAAAGATTTCAGACCCCTGACACTCATGCACACAGATCACCAAAAAGCCTAGAAACCTCACCTTCTGTTCAAAGTCTGCCACAAACAGAGGAGAGACCCGGTAACTGGGACACAGTCCCACAACAGCTTAGGGATCTCACGTTGTGGACACAGGCTCTCAAATGACCCAGAGAACGTCTAACCCAGGAGGCAGACCCACAAACCGGCCAGACAGCTCACACATCAGACATGCCGTGCCAAAATGCTCGGAGTTAACAATCCTTACACCCTAGGGCACAAACGCACCCCCACCCCCAGCTCAGAGACCTAACAGCCTGGACAAAGACCCCCCCACAAACACCCAAGAGATGTCATTAGTAAACAGAACCCCAAACCACTCAGAGACCTCAAACCCTGGAAACAGACCACTAATAAGTCCAAGACCTCATACCATGGGAATGAGACTCTCCCAACAGGAGCTACACCTCACCCTTGGAAACACACCCCAACAGTTAGGAATCTTAACACCAAGGGATCCAGAGATCAGAGAGCTCACACTCTCGGTCACAGAGGGTAAAGCACCTCAGAGGCCCCCCAAAGTATAAAGACATCAGTAGGAAGTCCTTAAACTCGAAACAGATCCTGAAACTGCTCCGATAAATCAATCACACCCAAGGACAAAACCCACATCATAGAACTCATTCGCTGGGACATGGGCTCAAAACAGTTAGGAGGGGTTGAGCACAGATACTCAAACACACCTGAGTTCTCATATGAGGGTCACAGACCCCAAACAGCCCCGCCACCTCATACCTGAGAGGAGAGACTTCTAAGTAGTTCAGAGACACCATACTCTGCACAGACCATCACAGAGTTGAGAGATTTCACACACGGAATGAAGACCTCCAAACAGCTCAGAAAACTCACCAGCGGGGCACCCTCCTCCCCCCATGTAAAGCTCAGAGGCCATGACCCTGGAACAAATCCCAAATGAGTCTGATGTATCACACTCTGGGACGGAGACCTCCCAAAAGGAAGAGACTCTGCACCTGAAAATATCCCCCAAACATGTCAAGAAACTCTCAAACCAAAAGAGCTCAGGGACCAGTATTCTGAACACAGGGGCCACACAGCTGCCCAAACAGCTCTGTGAACTCACCCCTGGAATGCAGACCAGAAAAAGCTCAGAATCCTCAGATCCAGGATTCAGAAATCCTTCTGAGACTTAGGGTATTGACCTCAAAATATAATTCAGAGAATATGCTGGATACAGAGAGCATCAAAGAAATCAGAGACCTCAAATCGTGGGGCACATACACCGAAACGGATCAGGGACCTCACATCCTGGATGTACATACAAAACACATCAGAGAATTTATATTCTAGGAAATACACACCCCCAATGAACAGACCTCACATCCTGTGACATACTCACAAATAGAACAAAAACCACACAAGCAGAGCTAGACATCCACGAGTATTTCAGAGAAATAGCATCCAGGGACGTATACCCACAAACAGATCATAGACCTCAATCCCTTGAGACATATGCACATAAAAATATCAGATACCTTCCATGCCGGGACATATACCCACAAACATTTCTGAGCGCTCATATCCTGGGAAATAAACTAAAGAATGGATCGGGGACTTCAGATATTGGGGCCTACACCCACAAAGAGACCAGAGACTCAAAGCCTGGGACATAAACCCCAAACGCCTCAGAGACCTTACATGCTGAGACAAAGAAAAGGTAAAACCAGATGGCCCGAGAAACAGAACCTCCAACAGATCAGAGACCACACGCTGTTGACACACATACCAAGAACAGACCCTCACATCCTGAGACACGCAACCACAAAGGGATCAGACGACCCCTATCTTGATGTGCACCCACAGACAAATCTGACATCCTGGGGCACGGACCCTCAGGGATGCCACGCCCTTGGACAAATACCCGCAGACAGGTAATACACAGAGAACTAGATGAAAGACCTCTCATCCTGCAACATAAATCCCAAAAAGTGGTCAGAGAACTCACGTCTTAGGACATATACCCACAGTCCTAACAGAGACATCATATCCTAAGACACATCCACAAAACATCAGAGAGCATAGGCCATGGGATGTATGCCCACAGAGAGATCAGATATTGCCCACTGGGACACACACAGAAAAAGTGCAGAGAGGGGGGCACCTGGGTGGCTCAGTCGCTGAGTGGCTGCCTTCGGCTCAGGTCAGGGTCCCAGGGTCTTGGGATTGAGCCCCGCATTGGGCTCCCTGCTCGGCGGGAAGCCTGCTTCTCCCTCTCCCGCTCCCTCTGCTTGTGTTCCCTCTCTCGCTGTCTCTGTCAAATAAATAAAATCTGGAAAAAAAAAAAAAAAAAAGAGCAGAGAGAGGCACATTCCAGGAAATACACTAAAATATCCTGGCGAATTCATCCACAAAAAGATTAGAGACCTTAAATGTTTGACAATACACATAAAGAGATCGGAGATATCACATCCTGGGACACAGAGTGACAAAATGCTCACAGACCTCACATGCTGGGAAACAGGCACAGAAACGGATGAGAAACCTCACATCCTAGGACACACACCCTCGAAGAGTTCCCAGACATAAAGTCCTGCAAAACGCACCCCCAGACCATTCACAAACCTCACACCCTGGAACACACACAACGAACAAATCAGAGACCTCATATCAGGGACTCTCCCCGCAGAGAGAATACAGATCCTGAGACACACACTCAGAAATGTATCGGTGCCCCTAAATCCTGGAAGACAGCCACACACACGTGGACAAACAGCTCAGGGAGCCCACATTCTGGAGCACAGAAAACAAAAAGACAGACCAGAGACTTCAAATCCACAATCAAGTCAGACACACCACAAGCTGAAAAATGCACCCAGAAAATACACCAGATGGTAGACATGACATCTTACGGCATAACCCATGAAGAGACCAGAGGATTCATTGTTTCAGCTTCAAATCTCTTTCTTTCTCTCCCTCTCTGACCTCTGCTTTTGCCATCACATTGCTTTCTGTGACTACTTCCATCATCCCACGGCCCCCGTCTCAATGTCCATAGCCACTTAGTTTTCTGTGATTCCTAAAGGTCCTACCTCCCTCACATAGAGACATTTGTGATTAGAATGGGTCCTCCCGGGGAATCCAGGATAACCGCTCCATCTCACGGTGCTCCCTTAATACATATCTGCAAGATCCCTTTCTCCAGTAAGACAACATATTAACAAGGTCCAGGAATGGGGTGAGCACGTATTTGGCGATCCATTATTTGACAAGACAGAACACACGTGCACAAAGAGAAAGCTCACCTCCTGGGACACAGGCACATGAAGTGCTTGAAGACTTCACATCTGGAGTTCCACACCTCCAAAGAGATCAGAGACCTTCCACCCTGGGACATACCTGCAGACTGTGAGAGAGCTAGCTACATTCTGAGACATACACCAGATGATGCCTAGAGTCCTCACACTCTGGGAATTAAACCTACAAAGATAGAAGAGAACCCACTCTCTGGGACATACACACCCAAAGAGAATAGGAACCTGATTACGATGGGATATACACCTACACAAAGATCAGGGACCCACATTCTAGGACCCCCAAACAGACCAGACCTCTAACTCTGAGACACACACACACCAAAAGAGCAGAAAAGCAGCCCACATTCACACACTCACACTCACACACACACACACACACACACACACACACACACACACCAGGGACCTCACACACTGGGACACAGAAACACAAAGAGAACAGACCTCATGCCCTTTACCAACGCACCCAAGGAGATGACACACTCCCCTATGTGACGTACATGCACCATCAGATCAAAGACCTGATCTGAGAAACACAACCCAAACCACACCAGACACCTTCCATCCTGCGACATGAACCAACCAACAGGTTATGGACCCCACACGCTGGTAAACGCATCCAGATAAATTTGGACACCTGAAATCTTGGGGCTTATAGTCTCGAGATCAGAGAGCTCAGATCCTGGGATACGGGCCCACAAACAGAGATCCTCCCATAAAGAGGTAAAAGTCTGCACATGGACAGAAATACACTGAGAAACATCAGAGAGCTGGCAAAACGTGGGCCATGTACGCACCACTGGATCAGAGGCCTCCTATCTGAAACACAACCAGAATGAGCTTAGAAATCTCAAACCCTGGATATATAGACCTTAACAGATAAGAACGGCACTTCGTGGCCTCTACACCAACAAACAAATCAGAAACGCTTGCAAATGTCCCCATAAGGCATCAGACAACTGATGACCTGGAACGTAACACCCGCAAACAGCTCAGAGACCTAACACGCTGGGATGCGCATTCACAGAACATCACAGATCTCACATCCTGGCACACACATCGACAAAGAGATCAAAGAACTCACCTGGATAAAAACACCAGAAACATCAAACAAGTCAGACACCCCATACCCCTGTTCATTCACCAGTGAAAAGATCAAACGCTTCACGTTATCAGACAAGTACCCACAAACAGATGAGGGAATTCCCATCATGGGATAGACGCCCTGCTTCATTCATGCTTCAGTCACCAGCAAGCATACCAGAGGCTTCCACACCACGAGACAGAGACAAACAAACAGATCCAGAAGGCTCGCATTCTAGGACATAATCCCAGAAACAGATCGAGCAAAAGGAAAGCACACACACGAAGAGGTCAGAATCCTTACACCGTGAACACACGCATGACAGTTCAGAGAATTCACATCCTGGGCACTATCTACAAAACCCAGCTTCTCCTCTCCTACGACCATATACCCCAAAACGGCTGGGCCCACAAATTCTGGGACACACACTATTACAGAGATCAGAGACCTCACACCCTGGTCCATGCACCCGCACACGGAGCAGAGACCTCCCACCATCAGACACACACTCAGAGAGGTGTTCACATCCTTGGATGTGTGCCGACAACCAGATGGAGACCTCACCGTCTGGGACACTGCAGTCCTTTCTTCCTGACCCCCCACCATTTTTTTTTTTTAAGAGAAGAAGGTTACAGGATGCCTGGCTGGCTCAGTCAGTAGAGCATGCGACTGGGCTGGAGCCTACTGAAAAAAAAAAGGAAAGAAAGAAAGAAAAGAAAAGAAGGTCATGTTTATCCAATTTCTTGAAAGTGCAGGCCTTTTTATCTCCTCAGGGCTCTGGACCTGCTTCTATAACAAATCACCCCGATCTTATTGTCATAAAACAACACAAATATATTATCCTATATTTCTGCAGATCAGAAGACTGACAAGGAGTCTTACAGGGTAAAAATGAAGATGGCAGCAGAGCTAACTTCCTTCTGGAGTTCCTAGGGGAGAATCTATAGGACACCCGCATTTCCTAAGCTCGTGGCTCCTTGCTCCACCTTCGAAGTTAGCAGTGTTTCATCTTCCAATCTCTCTCTCTTTGCCGCCATCGAGCTCCACCTCTGTTTCTCTTTGATTTCTACTTATGTCATGACGTCACTTTTTTTTTTGACTCTGCATCTCTTCCCACACTGTGTTCTTGGACTCTTGCCTTCATGTGTGCCTCATATAAGGACACGTATGATTACGTTGGGCCTACCCCGATAATCTGGGATAATTTTCCCATCGGCATGCTTAACTTAGTCATATCTGCAAAGTCCCCCTTTTCATGTAAATTAACGTAATTGTAGGTTCCAGGGATTAGGAAGTGGACATCTTTGGGGTGTTGCTATCCGGTCACCAGAGACATGTACGCCCCGACAGCTCACAGACCTCATATTCGGAGTCCTACACTTCCACGTAAGTGAGACACCTTCCACCCTCTAACATACATCCAGAAAGAACACACACACACACTTTTGGGGACTTAGACCAAAAAATGCTCAGAGTCCTTGGAATTAAACTCACAAACATAAGAGAACCGGCCATCTAGGTTTCGAGAGCACCCTCGAACAGGTCAGAGGCTTCACACTCTTGTTCACTGAGCAGTGAATATATCAGACATTTCACACCACCAGATACTACCCACAAACACATCAGGAAATTCACATGTTGGGACATACACAGACAAAGGGATTCCAGACCCCACAACTTGGGACACATAGCCACAAACATATCAGGGACTTCAAATGCCACAAATAGTCCAGAGGGCTCACACCATGGGGCGTGCACCATCAGACAGATCTGGGGTATGAAATCCTGGGATATGTACCCAGGAACAGATTAGAGACCTCACAACCTGGACATATAACCGCAAAGAAACCACAGGCTTCAAACTCTGCAACACGTACCCACAAACAGATCAGAAACCTCAAGCCCTGAGTCATACATTATAAAGAGATCATAAAGCTCACATCCTGAGATATAATCCACAAACAACGCAGAGGCCATATGTACCCAAGGCGCAGACTCACACATGGACCAGAGACCTCAAATCCTGCAATGCACAAGCATAAGCAAGTCAGACACCTCAGGGGCTAAGAAGATACCAGAAACAGATTATAGACCTGAAATCTTACAACGAACATCCACAAACAGATCCGAGAGCTCATGTGTTGGGACGTTTACCAGCAAACAAATCAGAGGCCTCAAGTCAAGGGACACACACCCACAAAAAGCTCAGAAACCTCACATGTCCTGGACATACGAACCTAAATAAATCAGAGATCTAGCATGCTGGCATATATACATGATCAAACAAATCAGAAACCTCCTATCACCAGAAATACCCGCCCTGGGGCGCCTGGGTGGCTCAGTCGGTTGGGCGTCTGCCTTCGGCTCAGGTCACAATCCTAGGGTCCTGGGATCGAGCCCCACATTGGGCTCCCTGCTTGGCGGGGAGCCTGCTTCTCCCTCTCCCACTCCCCCTGCTTGTGTTCCCGCTCTCGCTGTGTCTCTGTCTGTCAAATAAATAAATTTTTTAAAAAAGGAAAAAAAAAGAAATACCCGCCCAAACAGATCAGAGACCTAACAACTGGAACATAAACCCACAAACATCTGGCGGACCTCAGAGAATAGAATGTATTCCCCAAATCAGCTCAGACACCTGACATTTTAGGACGCGCACACACAAACTGGAGGCCCCACATTCTAAGACATATTCTCACAAACAGCTCAGAGACCGCAAGTTCTGAGACATACCCCGCCCCAAACTTTGTGAAACCTCTCATTGTGGTTCACACACCCGCACACGGATCAGAGACCTCCCGCCATCAGACACACGCTCGCAAACAGACGGGGGAGTTCACATCCTGGAAGGTGCGCCGACAACCAGCTAGAGACCTCGCGACCTGGGACACTGTACTCCTTTCCTATTGCTGCTGCGACAAGTCACAATTGTTACATGAAACAACACGCATTTACTATCTTACCTTTCCACAGGTCGGAAGCTAAAAAAGGGTTTCAAAGGGCTAAAATCAAGTTGTTGGCAGAACTGCATTGCTCCTGGAGGCTCCAGGGGGAGGATCCATTTCCTTGCCTTTTGAAGTTTCTCGGGCTGCCTGCATTCCTTGGCTCGTGGCCCCTTCCCCCAACTTCAAAGCAGTGTTTCATCCTCAAATCTCTCTCTCCGATTTCTATTTCTGTCATCACACCTGCTTCTCTGATGGACTGTCCTGCCTGTCTCCTGTAAAGACCCTTGTGATTACACTGGACTCACCTGGAAAATAATCCAGGACAGTCTCCCCCATCTCAAGATAATTACTTTATCACATCTGCAAAGGACTTTTTTTTTTTTTTTTTTTTGCAAAGGACTTTTTCACATGTAAGGTCCCATAGTCCCATGTTCCAGAGATTAGAACATGGACATCTTTCAGCGATCTTTACCAACCTTAGACATACATACATGAGGAATTAAAAGCATCCCATCCTGGGGGGCCTGGCTGGCTCAGTCAGTAGAGCGTGTGACTCTTGATCTCAGGATCGTGAGTTCAAGCCCCACACTGGGCGTAGAGTTTACTTAAAAAATAAAAAAATAAAAACATCCCATCCTGAGATATACACCCATAAGTAGGTCAAAGACCTCACATCCCATATCATACGATTCCAAAGAGATGAGAGACCTCCCACCCTTGGACATACATCCAAAAAAAAAAAAAAAAAAAAAAGAGTGAGGTAGGTATTCTGTGTCATATACCCACACACAGGGCAGGGACCTCTCAAACTGGGACACATAACCACAAACAGAAGACACCTCACGCCCTTACACACACACACACACACACAGATCAGAAACTCAAATATTGTGATTAGAAAGGCAAAAACTGAAAAACAATAAGGTACCCACACACAGATGAGAGACCTCACAGCCTGAGACACGTACTCACAGATCGGAGATCTCAAGTCTTGCACCATATACCTACAATCAAGTAAGAGACCTCATAGTCTAGGAAAAATACCTCAAGACTGATTATGTACTTGACTTCTTCAGAAAACACCCATGAGGAGATCAGAAAGTTCATATCTTGGGACACAGACTCACAAAAAGACCAGAGACTTGAGCCAAATGAAAGACACCCCCGGGGCGCCTGGGTGGCTCAGTTGGTTAAGCGACTGCCTTCGGCTCAGGTCATGATCCTGGAGTCCCAGGATCGAGTCCCACATTGGGCTCCCTGCTCAGCAGGGAGTCTGCTTCTCCCTCTGACCCTCCTCCCTCTCATGCTCTCTGTCTCTCATTCTCTCTCTCCCAAATAAATAAATAAAATCTTTAAAAAAAAAAAAAAGAAAAAAAAGAAAGACACCCCCAATGAGCTGCACACCTCACAGCTGGATATACACATCCGAACAGATCAGAGACCTCCCATCCTGGTACATATATAATCAAATGAATCAGAAATCTTGGAAATACCCATGAAATATCAGAGATCCAACAACCTAGGCATAACTCACAACCACCTCAGAGACCTCACACGAAGAGACACACAAAATCAGCAGAGGGACCTCACATCCAAAGACACGTACTCACAAACAGACCAGAGACCACCCATCCCGAGACGTACACCCCACAAATCCCCAAAATTTAGGGACACACACTCTCAAGCAGGTCAGAGACTTCTTGCCCTGGCTCATACACCCACACACAGGTCAGAGGCCTCCACCATCAGACACACTCACAAACACATTCCTAGGATGTGAACAGACAACCGGACAGAAACATAACTCAGGACACTGTATTTGTTTCTCATCGCTGTTGTAACAAATCACCACGATTTTAGGATCATGGAAAAACACAATTTTTTTTTTTAAAAGATTTTATTTATTTATTTGACAGAGAGAGACATAGCGAGAGCAGGAACACAAGCAGGGGGAGTGGAAGAGGGAGAAGCAGGCTTCCTGCCGAGCAGGGAGCCCGATGTGGGACTTGATCCCAGGACCCTGGGATCATGACCTGAGCCGAAGGCAGACGCTTAATGACTGAGCCACCCAGGCACCCGGAAAAACACAAATTTATTACATTACATTGTGTAGGTTTGAAATCCGAAAATGGGTCTTAGAGTATTAAAGTCAGGTGTGAACAGAGCTGTGTTCCTTCTGGAGACTCTGGGCGGGGAAGGGGGGGGATTCATTTCCTGGCCTTTTCCAGTTTCCAGAGTGCCTGTATTCTTGGCCCCTGGCCCCTTCTTCCACCTGCAAAGCCCTCCGCGCTTCATCTTCAAATCTCTCTGATTTCTGCCTCCATCATCGATCTCCTCCCTGATTAGGGCTCCCTGTTCACATGTCCTTCACTGGACATCTTCGGAGTCCTATTATTTAGCCGAGTACAGACACAGATGCACAACGGAAATTTCATGTCCCAGGACATGCTGTCATGACCGGCTCAAGGACTTTCCAAGCTGGGGCACACACCCACAAACACCTCCGTCGTCGGAGCACTGTATCTGACTTGGTCTGTGTCGTTACTTTTCGTTCAGTGACAATGGGCATCCTGTCCTGCTCATTTTAGGACTCTTGTGATTACACTGGACCCACCTAGAAAATCTGAGAAAATCTTCCCATCTCAAGATGTGTAATTTAATCACACCTTCAAAGTACCTTTTAACACGTAAGGTCACATCTTCACGCACGGTTTCCAAGGATTACAACACAGGCATCTCTAG